GAGGGAAGATGGTCCTCTGGGTCTGCCCTGGGGGGAGAGGGATGGGGGCGGGATCCAGGGTAGATGGGCCTATGGGTCTGATCCGGGGTGACAGGGGTGGGGGCGGGATCCAGGGTAGATGGCCCTATGGGTCTGATCCAGGCTGACAGGGGTGGGGGCGGGATACCAGGGTAGATGGGCCTCTGGGTCTGATCCGGGGTGACAGGGATGGGGGCGGGATACCAGGGTAGATGGGCCTATGGGGCTAATCCGGGGCACCAGGAAGGATTAAGGATGCCGGGGTGTGGCTAGCCCAAAGATGCTGGGCCGGGCCTGTGACTAGACCTGTTATGACACGAAGGCAGAACCGCATTCCACGGTGCTGGAGCTCCCTGCCCCTATCCTTCACTTCCTTCTCCCTAATCCTGGGTAATCGCCACCCCGTAATTAAACATGGGAACATGAAGCCAGCTGTGATGCGCCTGCTCGGATCCCATCCCGGCCCTGGAATGTGGATCTGCCTCTGGGAGCAGCCGGGGAACAGCCCTAGGGCCGAGACCCTCAATCCCAGGACCGTCACAGCGGGGTGAACCCGAGGCAGGGAGCTGCTCGGAGTGTGACCAACATAGTGGGGCTGTCTGAGTCGGCCGGGAGCCTGAGCCGATTGCTCGGAAAGGTGTGAACCACCCTGATTAAAACCAACACTACCTGAGTCTTCAGAGAGCCTGAACCGATTGCTCCGAGAAGCCCAAATCAGAGCTGGGTGGGAAACAGTTTCCTGCCCCTCAAATATTTTCCAAAAAATTTTCCCAGCTGAAACGTCAAAACCCTGACGATATTAAGGAACTGAAAAAAATATTTTTCATATTGGGTCAATCAAAAAGTTTCTTTTTGATTTCCACTTTTTTCTGAACTTTTTTTCTTCCCCTCTCCTTCCCCCCAGCTCATTTCCTTACATTTCAAAAATCAAAATCTGTTTGAGGCAGGAATTTTTCTGTCAAAAAATGTCCAAATCAAACTTTTTGGCTGGCTCAAAAGACTTTTTTTTTTCCCCCTCAACTTTTTCTCAGCTGGGGAAATTTGGCCAGACACTTCTGGTGTGGGACAGCTGGTGAACAGCCACACACAACACTGCACAGGAATGGCTTGCCCGGTGCTGAGATGCAGCCACTTCTGGTGTGGGGGGGCTGGAGAACAGCCACACACAACACTGCACAGGAATGGCTTGCCCGGTGCTGAGATGCAGCCACTTCTGGTGTGGGGGGGCTGGAGAACAGCCACACACAACACTGCACAGGAATGGCTTGCCCGGT